ATTTAAATATTATTACATGTTTTTTAAAATTAAACCACCAAACACAATTTCAGTTTTTTTTAAACTGAAAACAATCTCAGAATAAAACTACCAAACGCATTTTCAGAAATGATTCCAAAACAAAAATAAAAACGTTTTCGTTTTCATTTTCATACAAAAAAATAAAAATGTTTTGGAACTAATTCCAAACACACCCTATATATATATTTTTTTGAAAAAAAAACACTGAAGGATTTTGGGTAAAAGCAATGCACTTGATTTTTTAAGAAGATTGTCAATAACTAATCAACCATTACAGGTTACAGAATCTATTGCAAATCTCAAAGGAATAATAAAAATAAATAAATAAAAAAAGTGTTAAAACTAAGAGCGGAAAACTTGACTAGATGAAAGATTCTAAATGCTTTTTAAGAATATGAATGCAAGTTTTGGATAAAAAAAAAGTGTATCAACTAATGGAACTGATTGGAATATGACAAGAAATATTGAGTATCGATTAAGCATATAACTACAAAGCCGACTCTTTGTAGAATCTCTAAACTCCAGCTAAAATTGTCCGTAGTTTGGATCTTACCTTGACCCTCACATTTTTCAGATTTTATATATATACATATATATATATATATATATCACAAGAATAGTTCAATAATCACTCTTGTGCAAGTTGGAAATGAGTAACTCCCTTGTAAATAAATAAATAAATAAGGGTTTGTTCGTTTGCACCCAAATTTAAAAAAAAAGTTTGCACTCAAGTTATAATTTTATTCAAGTTTTATGTTATTTTGTAAAATTTGAGTTTGAACTTGAATTTTAACTTGAGTTTGGGGTTAAAATCTGAGTTCAAGTTTCTCCTTCAACTCAAGTTAATGAACAATATTTTTTCTATTCTTAAAAACGCTATAACTTTTTCGTTTTAATTCCGATTGAGATGATTTTTTTTTATGCATTCACCATGAAGAGACGAATAAAACTCCACTCATATACCTTATTAAAATTTTTCATCATCATTGAGTTTTAATTAAAATATTATCTAAATACAAACTTAAATTTTGACCCACTTAAACACAAACTCTAAAAAAGATTTTTATCTCAAACTATAACTCAAATGTACATAATCAAACACAAACTCAAATTATAACTTAAATTCAACTCAAAATTTACACTCAAATCATCACATATAACTCAAAAATGTAACTGAACGAGCCCTGAGTTGTTCAAAACTATGAATTGTTCTAATTGGAATAGTACTGTCGCACCAATATTTCGACGTGTGTATATATATGTATATATTATAGCTTCACCTCACGTCTTTGAAAAATGATGCACTTTAATCACGAGCTAATCATATATATAATAATTGCTTTAAAAAAATACGTGGGAGTACAAAAAGTGTCGAACGTTGTGTGTAAATAAATGATTAAAGAATGTGACGTGAGAGTCACCAACTGGTATATTCTTTACCACTAAAATTTAATTAGCATTTTCTTCTCCAACTTCTTGCTATAAAAATAAATTAGCTGCGATAAGAGAACAATGAGAGAAAACGGGAAAACCGACAAATTTAAGCTAGAAAGCCATCCGCCCTTTTTATGCCGCGAGTAAAAGGGCAAAACTGAAAGGAAAGAAGATGTGACGTCAATGAAAATATAACCCGACATCAGAGAATGAGAAACGATAATATAAACAATAAAAATGCACAAATATAAAAGCCTACATTAGAGTATTAGACAAATTGACGAGAAACCTTTGGTTCTTATGAACCGATGATTCTAATTTGATATAGTGTATTAATTTAAATAAAAAAAATTTATTATCTCATAAATTAATCAAAATTACTCACTTAAATATGAGAATCAAACGGACCCTCAACGACTTACTAATATTATATTTACAAACAAAAGAGTAAACAGCATGACAAATTTAGAGGAGAGAGAGAGAGAGAGGAACGATAAAACAGCGATATAAAAACTACAAACTGAATAAAACTTAAAACGACAGACAATTTTAAGTACAGCGGCATCATCATAAACGACGTAATATTAAAACAATTCAACCCACAGAAAAAAAAAAACGGCGCAATTTTAGAAAGGACGATATCTTGAAGACAAGAACATCCTAAAACGAAACAACATAGAAGTTTAAAACGACAATACCATGATAAAATGAGGGAAACGCGAAAAATAACATGAAAACCACAAACAGCAGGCCAACAGTAAGGATGACAAGTTTAAAACCACAGCATAAGACGTAAAATTTTAAACGACCAACCAAAAAAGCACAGATAAAACAGGAAAACGACAATAATAATAAAGCAACATAAAACACAATAACAACTAGAGTGAAATCTACAATTAAATTTATTAAAAATTAATGGTCGTGTTTGGACGATTAACGGATTAGTATCGAGATTACAGAAAAAATAAATAAACAAAAAATTAAAAATAATAAACACAAAAATTTATAATAATTTTTTTAAAAACTCGTGATACGTTCATCGTAGAGTCTTTAAATCTTTCACTGTAAATATTGATAAAGATTACAATGAAGTTCTCTCTAAATGTGAGGAATAAAGATTACAATAAAATTCTCCCAAAGTTAGGAGAATACTATAAAAAATACTGAAAAATATGTAAAAAGCTGTGAAGAATGCATAAGAATGCGTGCAAAATGGTGTAGGTGTCAGATGATGTCCGTGAACCCTCTCTTAGATGTGCATGGGTTGGCTGGAAATAATATTTGGGAAAATACACAAAATACATATTTTATTGGTCTTAATGAAGTAAATAGCATAATCTTTTAAAACTGATAAATTCTAGCATATCTCCTGACTTTCATTTTAAAATAAATTTACTTTTCCAATTCTACCCTTTTTTGTTAGGTTTCTTTTCGTTTCTTCCTCACAACCCTTCAACCATAGCCTCTCTCTCTCTTCTCTGATATGTTCCAAACTCCCTTGAGTCTCGTCGTCGCTCTCATTTTTTTATTCACAAAATCAAATATGATATTTTTTAAAAAAATCTTTGAATTAAATATATACATTACATTATTTAATTCTATAATTTTCTCGGTCAGTAAATATTTTACTAAATTTAATTCTCGATTAGTTAAATATTGTATTTACTAGTAAATATTTCACTGAAGCCAATTTTGATATGATAAATATTGTATTTACTAATAAATACTTTATTACATTTGAGTTTTAATCTGGTAAATATTGTATTTATCAATAAATACTTCACTGAATAAGTTTGAATCTAGTAAAACAATATGGTAAATATGGTATTTGTCAGTAAATATGGTATTTATCAGCCGTCGTTGTCAGTCGTCAGATTTTTAGATAAATATGGTATATATCAATAAATATAATATTTATCGATAAATATGGTATTACCAGTCGCCAGAGCCAGTCGTTAGATTTTCAGATGAATACCGGTAGATACGATATTTACCAGTCGCCGGAACCGATCTTTGAATTTTCAGATAAATATGTTAAATATAGTATTTACCAGTAAATACTATTTACGAGTAAATACGATATTTACCAGCCATCGGAACCGGCCGCCGGAAAACGGTCGCCAGTCACCGGAGCCGGCCATGGTAGACTTGACTATTGGGAGAAGAAAAAAAGGGTGGAAAGAAGGCATAGGGGTATTTTTGGGTTTTTAATAATGTTTAAAACTTAAAATATCAAATTATGCTATAATCTACTATCTTAAAAAAAATGCTATAATTTACTAAACATCCTAGTATACACGTTATTTCCTTCCTTCTCCCATAATATTTAAGGCAAGTTTCCAATTTGACTTTTGATTAAGATCCTTTCCTTGTAGAAAGATTGCTTAGGGAGCAAGCTTAAGTGGAGATGGATTCTCCCTCTTGCTATTTTAGGCAATATCTAACGAAATATGGCTGCTTTTATGGTAAAATTAATGTTGATTCTCAGAATGATGAGCTAGCAACCCCGCTAGTGGACTGGTTGCTTGGGCAACCAAATCCGCTAATGAATAGCGGTCTACTTACGGCAGTGAATTTCATGATTTAGTCATGTTCTCCGAAACGTATAAGGATACGTGTAAAATGAGAAATAATGAACGAAATTTGGCCTTAACAATGATAGGTGACAACAATTGTGCAATAGTGATCAAAGTTAGGTATTTTAAGGTTAAAACAAAACTAATGTCTCGTTCATTTCATCAATTCGAGTTTTCAATTGTAGTTTGGCTATAGTTAAAAGTTCTCACAAAAAGTCACATCTAATTTTTTCTACTACAGTGAAAAGCTCTCACATAAAATCACATCTCAGTTCGAATTAAAAACTTGAATCCACGAACTGAACGAGGCCAAAACTTTTCAATATTACAAAAGAGAAAAAAAAACTAAACTTTCCAATATTACAAAAATAACAAAATTTAAAACACAAAAAACTCATTTCAATGGTATTTTGCATATTTTTGAGGTTAAAAATGTAAGTTTAAAGTTCTTTTTAGTTTTTTTTTCTTTTTCCATTCTTTATTCAAGAGTTTTTAGGTATGTTAAAGTTAAAATTGATGGCTGACTCCAAAAGGTATAAATTTAAATATCAAATCTAATTTGAAAGTATATATATATATATATATATTTTTTTTTTTTTTGGAAGGATTTGAAAGAATATATTTAATGAGATAAAAAATTAATAGTGTGACTTTTAGATAAACTCAAAACAAAACGTATAAAAGGGTAAAAAAAAAAAAAAAAACCCGTTAAAAGAGCATTAAGAAAGTTAAATACGATGACAGCAGACAACAATCAAATCAAGAAAGAAAATCGAAAGAAACTACTATGAATATCTTATAATGAGAACCTACTAAGCTTCAAAAAAAAAAAAAAAAAAAAAAAAAAAAAAAAAAAAAAAAAAACTAATGAGAACTCAGCTATGTTATTTGAAAATAGTAAATGATTAAAAAAATGAGTATTATTTTCTGACGGTATTACAATTGGCGACGCAGAGGAGAGGTAATCTTGAAAATATTCTAATGATATGTAAATATATCAGAAAGAATATACGGTGGGTAAATATTTTCCATTTAAAAGCCTCTAAGTAACAGTAACTAATCATATTTTTTACCTAAAAGAAAAAATCATATTGAGCCAAACCCCATTTCGTTAGGCCTATTAGAATTTAGAAATAGAAAACTGACTTTGGGGGAAAAAAGCGAAAAAAGAAAAAGAAAATATATATAACTAACTCAGAGAAAAAAGAAAAAAAAAGAAAAACGAAACGACGTCGTAAAGAAGTATTGAGACAACAAAACATATAGCCGTTAGGAACAACTCAGGTCAATTGGTCAAGTAAGTGGCCGTTGAGGCAAGGGGCTCCCCCAAATTTGAAAAATTCGACCGTTGAAGATCTTTCTCTCTAACTCTAACTATAACCCCCCCTCCTCTACAGATCGCTTTATTTTCTCGCTCTCTCCGTTTCTTTAACTCCAAACATCAATCTCCCTTCCTTTTCTTCTGCTTCTGCAGACAACGAAACCAAAGAAACCAAGTCCAATCTCTCTCTCTCTCTCTCTCTCTCGAACACAAACCCTAACTCCCATTCCCATGGCGGCGGCGGAGGAACTGAACACCGGCGAATTGACGGCGGCGACCATGATCGACGACGCCTACGAGTTCTCCGCGCCTCGCTTCTTCGATTTCATCAAGGGCGAGTCCGAGGAGGACAAGCGTCGGGCCGAGCTCTGGTTTGACTCCGCCCTCACTTATGCCCCTTCCCGTAAGTTCCTATTTCATCCCCTTCTTCTTCGTCTTCTTGATTTTCCATTTTGCTTCTAGGGTTTTATTTGATTTGTTTTTTATTAATTTGTTTCGAGTTTTAGAGCTTGTTTCCTCTCGTCAGGGTTTCTTCCGTCAATCCTGTCTCTGATGATTTTCTGATTTGGACTTCGTTTGGTTGTACATAATTCTTGATGAAAATTGGAAATTTTGATTTTGTGTTTCGAAATGAATGTTTTTCTAGGTTCAAAGATTGTTCCTTTTGTCTCAAGTACGGGCAGGTTTTTGTCTAGACAATTGTTGAATACTTCCTCTTGTTCATTCATGAGAGCTTCTTTCTGATGTCGTTTAAGTGAACACGGGAGAGTTCTATAGGCCAATTAGGAAGTTTGAACGAAAATTTCTTTTTGGACGACGACAAAGTAGTTCCATTGTGAAATTATGTGGGGATTATGAATCATGATTTTGATTATGCTTTAATTAATATATATCAACATTTGTTGATAGTGAAGTGAAATTTCTTGCCCTTTTGATTTTTTTTTTTCTACTTTGAATTATGTAGCTTTTATGCCTAGAATCAGGACCGGTAGATCTTTCACCATTGAAAGCTTATGCAACTTTAGTGAAGCAGATAGTCAGAAAGAGGTATTTTATAGAATTGTCTATTTAAACTTTATTAGAAAAACTAGGTCCTCCAAATTTCTATATCTCATTTTTGGTTTAACTTGTTCGCAGAACTCTAATTCTTCATCAGATAATAAAACCACTGATACTTCAGAAACGAAGCCTCTAACTGCACTGGCCCCCACCGAGTTAAAGCAAGAAACCAAAGAAGAAAACGTTATTGGGGTAATTAGTTGTTGAGTCTTTTCTAATCAGTAAATCTTTTTCCTCTTCCCTTTTGTTTTTTCGGGTATCCAATCTACTTTTTTGTTTTCAGGTTTCTGCTGACAAGGGGTCAAACGAAGGGGACAAAGGCGACTCCAAGAGTACTCAGGAAAAAGAGAGGTTTGTCTTTGTTAAATAATAATTTTATCGTTTCTTTTAATGGAGTAAACAATGAAATGCTGAAGTTCTTATTTTATTTCTTGTTTCCGTTTGTTCTGCTGATCTCAGTGCATCAGCTACGTTAGTTTCCCCTTCGGACTTGACAAATGATGCGAATAGTAATAAAGAGAATTGCAAACCTGTGGTTCAAGTGGCAAAAGAAGCTTACACGCCAATTTCATCAATCCCAGGGACGAACTCCAAAAAGCACCAGACGGCTAAAAAGATAGCTAGTTTGATCAGAAATCCATCGGCTCTGAAGCCGAAAACATCACATTCCAAAAGTGCCAAGCCATCTTCTTGTTTAAGAAGGTGTGTGTATTTTTCTTTTTTTCTTATCTTTTTTTCCCTTAAATCTTTATGTCTACTGAGTGTTGATTGTGTGGGATGCTCAATTACTTTCAGTGGAACGAATGTGAAAAATACTTCTGGAACTTCCAATTTGGCTCAGGAGAATCAGGCAATGAAGCGACAGAAGTTGGAAGGAGGAAGATCTAGACAGGTAAAGTTAGAAATGCTTTTACTCCTCTTCGTGTGTTGTTCTATTTGATTGCTCCACTCCATCTGAAACTGTTTTCTTTAAATTCAGATTCCAAGTCTCAAGCCTCCACAAGTTTTGCCCCACAAGTCAAAATCAGGTCTTGTAACTGGCAGTTCCAACTTCTGTCCAACCACAGTTAACAGAACTCGAAAAGAGGACAGAAAGGTTTGTGTTCCTACTGATTACTTTTACTTGTTAGTCTTTGGAATCTACTTGAAGATTGTTGAACATGGAACTAAATCAGTAAATTGGTCCCTTTTTTTTCTCTTTTTTTGAATTATATAGATTTATGTTCGAGAACAAACAGCAGCTCCATTTGTGTCAGCGGCTGAAATGATGATTAAGTTCCAATCAAGTACCAGAGACTTGTCATTGCCACATGTCCCTGATTCTTTTTTTAAGGTGAGAGTACTCAAGTCCCATTTTTCCGCCCACCTACAACCAAAACTTTTGCCTATTCTTTACCCTTAATACTCAGGTCGTTGATGTTTCTATCATTTAGATGAAGCCTAGACTAACATTGACAAGGCCTAAGGAACCTGAACTCGAAACGTCTCAACGGGTTCGGTCTGTCAAGGTAAAAAGTACTGCTGAGCTAGAAGAAGAGATGATGGCCAAAATTCCCAAGTTTAAGGCTCGGCCACTGAACAAGAAGGTATCATGTTTTCCTTGTGCTAGATGTGACTCTTGATGTAGTTTTCACGGTTTTTACATGTTGTAATTTTCTGGTTCTATTGTTTAATCAGATTTTTGAAGCCCCGTCGTTACCTGCAATACCAAGAAGTACACCCCAGCCACCTGAATTCAAGGTACAGAAATAATGAATAGTGAATGAGGGTGAAAAGAAAAAAAAAAAAAAAAGACAAGTACAAGACTGTTTTGATTATCATGTTAATATTATGTAATTATTTCAGGAATTTCATTTCGAGACAATGACGAGGGCAAATCATAATTTGGAATCAGCTTCGGTAGCCTCAACAGAAGTGTCATATCAGGTAGAGAGCAAAATTCTGGAATTTTTGATATCCAGTACTGATTCAATTCTCTCTTACTGATCTTTTCCTGACTGTTTCTAAATCTTTTCCTGACTGTTTCTTTTTACTAATCTTGTAATTACAGGGTAATCAATGGAAACCTCATCTAACTGAACCTAAGACTCCTCTACTTCACACATCACTAAGGGCCCGCCCTGCCCAGGTGAAAAGCTCCTTGGAAATTGAGAAGGAGGAACTTGAGAAAATTCCTAAATTCAAGGCAAAGCCTCTGAACAAGAAGGTATTGCCGTCTCGTTTTTCAGTTCTGGAACGTTTTTGTAATAGTAAACACAGCTCAATGTTGTGGCCTTAGCAATTATTTATTCATCTCTTTATTTTTATTTTGTAGATATTTGAAAGTAAGGGTGAGTTGGGTGTATTCTGTAACGTCAAGAAACAAATTACAAAACCTCAAGAATTCCATTTTGCAACACATGAGAGGATTCCACCACCTCCTCCTGCAGTCGTAGATTTATTTGACAAGGTGAACCATACAAATAAAAGTTTATGACTCCTCCTTGCCAATTTTACCATATATATAGTAACATTCTATTTTATTTTGTTTAACAGTTGTCTTTGAACTCCGAGCCTCGTCATGAACCACTTCCAAGAATTACAACACCAAATCCATTCCATCTGCACACAGAGGTTTGTTTAACACAATACAATTCCTTCCCTTGCTAAGGAGAATTTCCTCCACTTCTAACGTCGTTTTCACCTATGTTTATCTGTCACTATCAGGAAAGAGGAGCCGAGAAAGAACGGAAGTTTATCACGGAAGTTCTGCAGAAGCAATGGGAAGAAGAAAGAGTTAGGGTTCCCAAGGCTAACCCATATCCTTATACTACTGACTACCCTGTGGTATATATATTCATTCATTCACACACCTTTAAGTAGTACTAGCACTTTATTAGTGCTTTAATAGTTACTTTTTGTTTTTATGCAGGTTCCAACTAAGCCAGAGCCCAAACAGTGCACAAGGCCAGAACCTTTCCAATTGGAGAGCTTAATGAGGCATGAAGAGGAAATGCAAAGAGAAATGGAGGAAAGACAGAAGAAGGAAAAGGAAGAAGCCAAAATGAGGATTTTTAAGGCACAACCGGTCCTTAAAGAGTAAGGACCACTGGACCAACAACATGATTTCAAACCAAAAATGATCAATATTAATGACAAAATGGCAACAATACAGAAAATGACTGGTTTATTATTGCTTTTGTCTAATGATGCAGAGATCCCATTCCCGTTCCGGAAAAGGTGAGAAAGCCCCTTACACAAGTTCAAGAAATATCCCTTCATGTGGATCATCGAGCCGTAGATAGAGCAGAATTTGATCAAAAGGTAAGTTTACAACTTATAAAGTAAATTCACTTTTCAGTGCATATAGGATAACTTACAAGCAAATTTACTCATCAACTTTACAGGTCAAAGTGAAGGAAATGATGTACAAGAGATACAGAGAGGAAAGCGACGCAGCAAGAATGGTATTCTTTTTTTTTTTTACACGAGATACTGAACGAGTTTGCTTGCATTGTTATTTAGATGACTGAGTGAGTTTTGCCCAACATCTCTGCAGATAGAGGAAGAGAAGGCGTTGAAACAGTTGAGAAGGACACTGGTTCCCCACGCAAGGCCAGTGCCCAATTTTGACCACCCATTCTGTCCCCAAAAGTAGGGATTCATTCAGACCTTAATTTTTGTGCCTTTTAATAACCCTTTTCTTGTGCATTTCTACCGATTCTGACGTTGCATTATCCATAGGTCTTTGAGGGAAGCCACGAAAGCAAAGTCGCCAAATTTGCGCGTACTACAGCGGAAAGAAAAGCGTAGAATGATGGTCAATCCTGCCATTTCTAGTGCTGCTGCCAATATGAGATGATTGCTTGGCTGCTGTCTCTGCTTCTGTTTTGCTCGTTCAAGACTCTTGAACGCCCGACAAGGGCTCTTTGTTTCAGTTAATGTATATCAACAATTTCTACTGACACACAATTAGATGTATCCTTTTTGGCTGAAAATGTAGTATTCTCACCCCATGGCACATATGCCCTCGTGTAATTTAAAAGTCTAGTCCAAAGTAATTTGATTCATGCCCTCCTCGTGTAATTTAAAAGTCTAGTCCAAGTAATTCGAGTTTCTATTGCATGAAAGTTATTTATTTTTTTTTTTTTTATAGAAAGAAAGGAGAATAAAATGATTCTTTTCCTTCTTTCCCAATGGAGCATATCATGACACCATGATATTAAGAATTAATATTTTTCTGTCAAATGAAGCCAGTTCATATCTATCTATTTCTGAACGTATTAAAAACCTTCTAAACCAACCCTTTTTATGAGTAAATTGAACAAACTTTTCACTCTATATAGAAAACAATCTACGGACACACGCATAAGTCTAAAATTTACTAACTGCCTCCTCCCTTCCGCCGATATACTAGGATCTGAAACAGCATAAGGAAAAAAAAAAAAAAAAAAAAAAAAAATTTCAAAATCAGTTCAAGGCAGAAAAGCTAAAAGTTATGTAATCTTATTATTTATGTATGCATAGAAGAATTCTCCATGTGTCTAATATCCCTTCCTACTTCTGTGTCTTTTAAAAAGTTAACTAGTCCAATACAAACACGAGAAGAATTCTCCATGTTTATTCAGGCAAATGTGTGTACTCACCAAATTGTCCCTACTGGAAGTGCAATTGGCTTTGACCCCTGCCAAAGTTTCTTCTGCACCCAAAACTTGCAGTTCATCTCTGCATGGATCAACCACCAGGGACACCAAATCTGTTGATGAGTATGAAGGATTTACGGTTGTTTTGTCATCTTTGGCAAGGCGCTCCCCTTTAAGTAATAATAATTCAACCTCTTCAGCCTTCAAAGGCGTCTGGCGAGCAACATACTGTGTACAGCATATGCCGTCTGTCAGTGTCGTATGGGAAATAGGGTAGGCCAAAATAATATCAAGGGAAAAAGAAGAGCACCACAATAGCATTTTAAGAATGAAGGGGGCAATGTAAACTATGAGTGGCACAAACTAAAAAAGCTCAAGCACAGACATTCTAAATGCCATCTCATACAGCTAACTCGCTAAAGAAAAAGTACAGTGCTTTAATATCTATACAAATAAACAATGCCATCTCATTCAAGTTAAATGTATGCAGAAATTGAATTTATTTTTTTGTTTATTCTAGATAAAGAGAAAAGTCAGGATCAGCTTTTAGCGCATATTGTCCAGTAACTGAGGCAATTAAAGAATTTACGGTCAGGAATCATCACCCTCTTGCCCTTAAGCATGATATCTATTTCAACCAAAACCCAAATTTATTAGTCTATATAAAATAAAAATTAAAAAAAAAATCAGGAGAGATATCTTACTTCACATAGGTATTTAACTGACAGACTTGGTCGACAGCAAAGGTGTGGCTGCTGCAAAGTTGGTGTACTTTGTCTGTCCATAGCAACAAGCACGAGATGCACATCTAACTGCAAATAAGAATAATAGTTTTCTGTAAAAAAAAAAAAAAAAAAATTGATAAACAACAATGAGAAGACACCAATAGCCTTACCAATTTCCTATGGTGCTCAGAGGAAGCAATTCACTATACAAGAATCCTAGTTATAAATTATCTTGATTATATTACAAACTTATAGAAGAACTACATGGATAACACAAATCCAACATCACCTTTTTTTTTTTTACCTCGTCATTATTTTCCTCTAAGTTTCGGAGATAATCAACCAACTTGGATAAGCGGGTGTTTCGGGAAATCTTAGTATTGCAACCATTGGCATTGCCATGCCGAGTGTGACTACGAGCACCACCCCTTCCCCAAGCAAGTATTTCAGAGTTCAATGCAAGACTAGGAGAAATTCCTCGGTTCTCTTGGCTCATTTCCAAGTCATTTTCAGGGTATCCATCTGAATTGGCCACTGATGAAGAAGGCTGAGAAGACCGAGTACCTGTCCGTCTCTTGCGCCTTCTCTGTCTGATTTCTTTATGACGCTCATCATTCGAAGGTTCATCTTTCTCAATGTTCTTGTCATTTCCATCATCATTGCCTTCACATCCTTGAAGTTCGACATTCCGGTTACTTCGTCTCCTTGAATAAGAACTCCGGTGAATGCGTTGTGATTTTGTCAAAAATGTATCTGGTGTATCTTTCCCCGGCGTACCGCGTCTCTTAATTAGAGCTTCTGATTGGCGTTGAAATATTTGGGCAATTGATGCTTGTATCTACAAAATAAACTATTATAACAGGGCAGAACAAACAAATAGGAGACCATGCAGTAATGAATCAATAATTGATAAAATACTTTTTGGATTTCAGCCCGACTTGGATGGAAAATAGAGGGTTCCAGTTCCATTTATGTTAAGATTTTATTTTACAAGAAAGTGGGAAAAACTTTTATTTTGTCAATAAATGAGATTGGAATCTCAGAAGCTTAAACAAATAAAGAGCATCTCCAATGCGAATGGTAATAGGTTAAACGTTAAAATATCAAATACCAAATGACAGACAGTCAAGAGTAGTGCCCTACAAGAAAAGGCGCAATTCTGCTATTACACAAGAAATATTTGGAATCAATCTACCAGCAAAATATATTGAGACAAGGTAGAAAGTGTAATGACCCAACTTCCCGAGCCGTCATTAAGCTTACCAGTAATCCTAACCATCCATTCAAAAAAGGAGATCTTTCCAAGCTTAATTTGAGCGTGTCTCATCCCCTCTTCTCCTAGCAACGGTTTTGAGAAGAGAGGATAAGACACACTCAAATTAAGCTTGGAAAGATCTTCTTTTTGGAATGGATGGTTAGGATTAATGGTAATGACGGCTCGGGAAGTTGGGTCATCACAGAAAGCCTATACCTCTTAAGTTCGAAATCACAGGCATCAGGAATACTGTCAAAAAAAGACAACTTAAACGAGGCTGGCTTTAAAATTAACATTGGAGATGAAGGCATGGATAAAAGTAAATCATTGCCAGATGTCTTCAATGACTGATTTATGTGATGATAGGTGCACATAAGTGAAGTGGTAAAATTTTTATGCAAATAAGCAATGATACCCATGAAAATGACCTGCTTATTCCGAGTCCTCTCCTCTTCATGAAAGGCTAGTTCCTGAGAAAAATCACAATTAAACAGTGCCGTCTTTGCAAAAGAAACCTTCTTTTAGAACCTAATCTAAGCCTACCTCCTCCTCATACTTCTCAATATCTGGATATAAAATTGCAATTAAGGCGTCATAATTTGGATCGTCTCTGAGAGAACGCCGGCTGGCACAATGTGTTCGGCAAGCAGGACACTCATTGTTCCTGAGATTAACGCATCAACCCACAAAACTTTATTAGATATTTTTTTTCCCTTCTTCGGTGTTGAGGCCTTGAAGGAGGAGGTACCATAAATCCAATAGTTGAAAAATTAATTCTTTACCCAAAAAAAATCAATCAAAGAGATAAACAATGAGGAAATCAGGAAAAGTAGATCTAGTACTATAGAACTCTGGATGAAGGGAACACTGGTATAGCTCAAAGTTACGTACCCCATTCGCATTGATTTGTCAATGCATTCCCTACAAAATCTGTGCAGGCATTCCATTACAGTTCTTGTTTTCTTGATAATGCCTGTCCAGGAAAAGAATTGACCAATGAATGCTATACCAGATGACAAATAACCATATATAGAAAGGAGGCTAAACCAGAAATCACAGATGAAACAAAAAGGACAACCAACTAATTTCCTTAATAGAAATATCAAGGTATAACATTTATTGAAACTGGGAACACAAGCTATTCCATGGAAAAAAAAAAAAGGACGTCTCCAAAGACTCTAAACCAGAATGCCACCAGGAAAAACGAACAGGGCCATACCTATTCCTACCTATTTATTTGAAAACCGGTTCAATCCTATTCATGACTTTAGTGAAGGAGCTAGCATTACAAACTCTTGCATTTTCCTCTGCATTTCATTTTACTTTAACGCCTTACTATAATCAATACTGAATAGCACTACACATTTATCAAGAATATGACTAACCAAAAGTGAGAAAATGTGCAAATGCTCCAACGAAAAGGATTCTGAAAGGAAGAAAGATTTGTTTTAATCTATCTCAGTATGCACTAGAAGAGAAAGAAGAGAGATCAGGCCCTACAAAAAAAAGAAAAAAAAAACCACCCTACACCACAAGCAAAAGATCCAAAAAAGGAAAAAGAAAAAATAAAGGCACCTAGACAAATTGGACATTGCACATCTTTACGTATCTCCGGCAATTCTACAAAGACAAATCTGCAAGAGAAACCAAATTAGATGGAATCAGTTCTTTGAACTTAGCGTAGCCATTCAAAGCAAAGCAATACAGATTTATACAGTCTGCATTAGAAAATATATAAAGCATCTTTTGTGGGTCAGCTTTAGTAGTATACTGCAACAAGGATAGTCATCTCCCATCCGTACATTTTCTTCCCTCTGGGTTGAGCTGAAACACTGCCTTTGCCAATAAACGAGAAGTAGCACTAGACTACAAGGATTGGCGGTACACAAAATACTTGCACAACACAGCTCTTTAGTAGTGCCAACCTCTTTCAAAATACAATCGAGTTCAAGAAAATCTAATTACACAGATTCTTGTGCATAACAAAATCGAAAATCAACTTTTATGTTGGCATTGGCTTTCAGAGCTCATAGTTAAGGAAAGTCATAGAAGAAAGAAATTTGCAGCGTCTAATATGCACCAATCTTGCTTTTAGTGCAACCTGAAATATGTGAATAAACTACCCTTGTATTGTTTTCACATTACACTTTAACAGGCAGGTAGGTGATAAATTTTGCAGAGTTCTAGTCCCTAAGAAGCCAGATAAAAAAAAAAATACGTTACTAGCAATTAATACTAAATTATACCACAGAAAAATTCAGGTAAGCAGAGAACAATAATACAACTATGAGACGATATATTAAAAAAACAAATATTAACCAAAACAAATCCGCTGAGCCAACTGATAGCATGGAGACATTTTAAACAACTTGGTAGCAACCAATTGCAGACTCAGCCCCGACTGACTCCATGACCACCATGCCATTGCCACAAGTGAGAATCTAGTGGGAATTATTAGCAGCATTGAAACCATAACCAACAAAAGCAATAATTATAGTAACAACACTAATAGCATAACATAACATGAGCATAATCTAACAAACTAACAAGAGTCTCCAAAAAGAGTTTCACGTTTGACATTGTTATGGGAAATAAAGTCCTAGCATGCAACACATAAACAACTATACGCACAACATACAACAACCCAATAACTGAAACGCATTATCTTCCAAACTTCTTTAAGCAAACGAAGCAAAACCCATGAACAACGAAGAAATCGAGCTTCAGGAAATAACGAGGCGAGAGAGAGAGAGAGAGAGAGAGAGAGTACTCGGGTTTGGGGTGAGAGCTGGATGATGGTCTTTCATCGGAATCTGCAAATATAGAAAGAGAAGCTTCAGGAGGCAATCGAGGAACAAAAACAAAAGACGACCCAGGTGAGGAAAAAAACAAGAATTGCATGATCTAACGCAACAAAGAGAAAAAAAAAAAAAAAAAAAAAAAAAAAAAAAAAAAAAGAAAAAGGCCCCCCCACGTAACCCTCCGCTTTATCTTCTTCTTCTTCATCATCATCTCCATCGTCGTCGTCTTCTTCGACTTGTGGCTTGACTTCTTCTTCTTCTTCTTCTTCTTCTTCTTCCTCTTCTTCTTCTTCTTCTTCTTCATCATCTTCTTCTTCTTCTTCTTCTTCTTCTACTTCTTCTTCTTCTTCTTCTTCTTCTTCTTCATTCTCTTGTTGGGTAGAGTTGTTTTGGAGGGGAAGTTGGGGATCATCGTCTTGGGAGCGAGATTGCTTGGGAGGGATGCGAAGCTGGCCGTCGTCGTCGCCGTCGTCCAGATTGTCCTGGAAACAACGCTTCTGCGCCGGCATTATTGGTCTGAGAAAGACAAAGGACCGATTGGAAATGGTTGTGTCTGATAATCGAGCTTCCAAAAAAGAAGAAGAGAAGATTGGAGATTTTCGCAGGCTTTATTTATTAATTAATTAATTTCAATGCAATATTTTTTTATTTTTTTTATTTTTGTTTAGATAGGAGAGGGAGAGAGAGAGAGAGAGAGAGAGAGGTGTTCTGTTTCTTTTTATGGGTCTCCGGGAATTAGATGTTACGGCGAAGAAAGCAGCACATGTTGGCTTCGTTGACGGCCGTCTGTCCCCGTTGGGTATTTCTGTCTTTTCGTTTCATTCTTCTTCTTTTCTTGGACTTTTTATTTATTTATTTATTCCTTTTCCCTCAAAAAGGAAATTGTAAGTGTATAATTAGCAATGATTACTATTATTGTAATGGAAATTTCACTACACTCACTGTTGGCTTTTTTTTTTTTTTTTTGCCGTTCAATCTGTTTTTTCTTTTTACCAATTATGGGGTTATTTTCAATTTATTTGCTAAAATTATGAAATATGAATTTTGAATTAGTTCTAATTTATTATTTTTATTAGATTTTTCATTAAAACTAACAGAAAAAGAGAGAAAAGTGTGTGTTTAGAATCGTTTTTTAAAACGGTTTTTACATATTTCGATAAACAAAAAATGAAAATGAAAATGAAACGACGTTTGTTTAGTAAATATTTTAAAAATAAAAATGAAAATGAAAACAGTGAGAATGTTTTTTGTGAAGGAATTAAAAAATAGTTAAAAGTTGTTTTCACTTTTCTATTTTTATTTTTTAGTACTTATCAATAATATTATAATATATTAATTAATAAATATGATTTCATTTTTTTATTATACTCAAAACAATCTCTTTAAAAATCAACTAAACGCAATTTTAGAATCGGTTTCAGAATGATTTTAAAAAACAATCTCTATTTTACTTTTTATTGAAAACAAAACTATTTTGAAACCAATTCCAAACGCACCCTAAATCTCCACTTAACTCTTTGTTAGAATTTAGGTTGAAAAAAAATGAAAAAATACTACGTTATATTATTTATCCTTCTCTTTTTTAGTCTGTTTTTACCGAAATTTTACAAAGAAAATTAAATAGATGTAAAGGAGAGGACAAAACAAGAGCTTCTTTTATAATTTAGAGAACAAAGTGCAAATGACCTTGAAGAGGAACCAAGTGAAAATAACATATTTTTGGACAAACTTTTGAATATTACTGAATTATCTTACCCATTGAGAAATGCCTCAAATATTGGCAAGTTTTTATTGTTTTCATTAAAATTTGAGTATTTCTTTTTATTAAGATACAATAGTGAGTTAGTAAAGAGATATGATATTTAGAAATGTGATTTTTTCTTTTTCTAGTATTTCTCACGATATAATTCTCTAATGCTAACGTGGTATTACCTCTACTAAATTCTGTGACACATTCGTGTAATGTTTTTTTTTTTTTTTTTTTTTTTTTGCTAACAAGTATACTTTTTGTTTTGGAAGTGCTTGCGTCGATTTCTTTATTTATTTTTTAGATATGTGCCTATTTGCATGTCCAATAAGACACTTCTTCTTTAGCTTGGCAAACAGTTTTGCGATAAAGTTGTGAAAAGCTACCAAATAGTTGTAACATGTAAGTGATTTCTCTTAAAAGTCTAATAAAGGTCATGATAAACAAGCACTTCATTTGTTTTTCTTACACGCGTTTTCTGCTGTTTGTCTTGATGCTCTTTTGTGTTTACATTTTGCCATTTATGGCATAGGATTACTGGATTAGAAGCCATCGTCTGTTAGCACACCCTAAAAGAGTTCATCATAGCACTATGGAATTATGTCAAACCTATGCGTTAGTCTTTTGGAGGCCATAATAAAGTTTCTATACTAGTTATTCTTTCCTCCTAGTTGCTGTCTCGATACTTGGCTCGTGATTTTTGGGATTTTGAACTTTGTTTCTTCGATTTTAGACTTCCGATACTGTCTGTCGTTGTCTTCCGACTTAATTTTAAAATGTCTCAGAGTGTCGAGCAAAATAGAATCGAAAAAAGAATGTAGAAGAGACCACATTGACCAGTAAAAAAGCAACGAAGTCGAGAAAAGAACTCCTACACCATCCATGTATGTAGGAGTGTTGTAGCGTTGACTAAACAGGAGTATCAAAATCTACACAACTACACATTTATTTTGATGTGGTGAATTTGGTATTGTGATACCTGCTCACTAGGTTTGACAAAATAGAACCTTGAGACTTGAGAGGCCTTTGGAGTTGGATCTAAAGCAAGGTTTCTTTGACTCGAGGGGTCGTAAAAAGGCTTGCCTGGAGAATGACAACTAGATAGCTTAGCTCCGCTGCTAAGAATCAAAGACTATATAATGTCTTTCGTCTTTTTTTTTTTTTTAATTTTCTTTTTCCTTCTTGAATTTAGAGGGTTACAAAGATAGATGGTGGTGTACTCAAATAACTCAGAGATGATATATTTCCGCGTGACACATAAATCCCTCATGAAATAGATTGTCTATGGCTCCGTTCACTTCGCTGATTCGAGTTTAGAATTCGAGTTTTTCTACAGTAAAAAGCTCTCACAAACAATCACATCTAACTTTTTTACTACAGTAAAAAGCTCTCACATAAAGTCACATCTCAACTCGAATTCTAAATTCGAATCAGCAAAGTGAACGGGGCCTATATATCTCGCTCACTGACTGACTCGAACTTCAAATTTTATTGAGGAGAATGACCGGTGGTAATTGTATCTGGCTATATCTTGGAATTTGCAGCTCGAGCCATCTTGGGAACTATAACGACATGACCCATTGGGTTATACCCCATAATTATATTGGTTAAAATTCTGTTGCTTTTGACATATCAATGTACCCATTATTTCCCTTTGTTCTACATAGATCGATGGATTAAGTGGGTAAACCACAATGTTGTACATCAAGAATGTTGAACTAGGCAAATTGCTTCATTGAGATTTAGAAAACAGTCCAATCGACAGAAAACGCTAAGCATGGAGACACAGTACAATCCGCGCATCATAGTAACACCTTGGTTGGCATTTTATTAGAATTTTAGGTGGAGAACCAGTTAGACACTGCTTTTATTACAGAGTAATTATTCATATTTCACATATGAGAAGTCTTAAAAAAGGTTGCCAACTATTCAAAACTTAGAACAAAAGAAAACGTCGCTCATGATATCTCAACTTCAGAAGTTTAGAGAGACAACAAGGCCAACCCAACATGACATACGTTTATTATTAATATTTTGTTCACTTTCTGTTCCTTAGTTCAATTAAACAAAATTTCTTTCCGAAGACAATGAAAACGAAAGCAATAGCCACAAGGCAGTACATTATTACAGTTCGATTAGTATTTTCAGGGGCGGAGCCAGAAAAATTAGCCGGGGTGCGCGGTTTTGATTGAACTAATGAGGTGAGACAAATAAAGAGATGTGAAATTTTAGGGGGAAAAATACCAATTTTACAAACTTCATAAATGAGAAAAAAAAAAAAAAAAAAAATTCAGATGGGGCGGCTGCCCCGCCCGTGTGTGTGGGTGGCTCCATCACCCTAGTATTATCACCTTATTCAAGTTATATACCATCTGCTACCCTTACACCATGGTGCAGAAAATAATATTTATATTCTAGACTGCTTAAGACAAAATTGTAGAGATAATGTAGAAGGAAGACACATGGGAGAAGGGTCGGAATAAGACTACTAATCTTGAGAATTCTACTATGGCCAAATTGGTAAACCACATGATAGTTTATTTTCTACAGCCACAATATATAAATCATATTACCATTGAAATTTTGTGGTTAACCTAAGTTCAAGCCTTGCATATAAATATGTCATGATTTTATTAACGTTGGATATAAATACGTCATTATATTATACCTAAGATGACAGAAGAGAGAAAGCAAGGAATGCCATGTCTTGAGAGGAATATATTATGAGCTATGTGATATGGAAATGCTTGTAAGTGGCATTCTCTTGGGGGGCTATCTGGATTCTTGCCCTATCATCAGCCTGCCCGCAAGCCGTGTCTTTTAGCTGAGCGCCTATACCTTTGCGGCCCGAACCTTCAGCGTGAGTCTCGGCCGAGCTCTTCCTCCGCCGTTCATTGTGTCCAGCTAAACGCCTGCGGCAGCTCCGTCTGGTTTCGTCGAATTCCGACAGCTCATGGAATCTACAGGATGACAACAATTAGAACATAGCTCATAGTACTTGAAACACTTTTTGTGAGTGCCGTGGAAATGAGTGCTGAGCTTTAGTTCTTAGACATGTATATGCTAAAATTGTGCAAGACCGCATTCTAAACATTTTAGTCCCCGAATTATGACCAAATTTCATTTTGGTTCATAACTTTTAAACCTTCTCAAAATGTGTTATACATCAATCATTTTGTTTCTTCGACAGTGAAATTCTCAACCGAAATTGATATGGTTTTCCTTGTTAATAGTCGTGCCCTAATATACGTAAAATTTTTAAATTAACTTCACCAAATCGCACATAGTCATCACTTGTCTTTTTTCGCATCGAGATTTTAAGAGTCAAATGGACAAAACGGCTACTTTGAGACAATTTAATAGATCTCTAACTATGTTCTTGAAACTTTTAAAAATCAAAATGAGATTTTACCAATAATTTTGTGACTAAAAGCGAGATTAATCCTAAACTAAAACAATAGTTGTATCCTTGCACTAATTGAAAAAGAAAAAAAAAATTAACCACCAAAGAAGTGATACAAACACAGTAATAATACAATAACAAACCAAAGAAAAATGCCATAATAGCAAAAAATTGACACAAAATAACAACAATCACAAGCTACACCGCAGAAAGAAAAATGAGACACTTGATTCGACATGAGAGGAGAGTAGGAGCAGAGCACAAAAACCAAGAAACAAAAAGGGCAAATCTGTGATTTCAGTCCAAACCTGCTGCATTGCTGGCAAAACCTTTGCCTGACACCAGCAACAAGCACAACCTGGGCCTTGGCGTGGTGCTCGCACACCTTGTGCCTCCTGTGGTACTGCTTGGCATCGCTCAGATCAGCCGCGCACTTCTCAGCCTGGCAACACCGGCTCGCCATATTATTATTATTATTATTGTTGTTGTTGTTATTCCCACTTGACAAGCTTTTCTTCCCACCAATACTACTGCTTCCAAAAACGACATGACCTTTCTTCTTCTTATTATTGTCGTTTTCAGGAGTATAACCCATTGTCTGCTCAGCCTCAGCAGAACAGTAATCCTCGTCCTGACCTTGGTCTAGTTTCTTCTTCACCACCATCCCCATCTTCTGCTTGGTCTTGTCAAGTTTGCCTAACTCCATGAATTGATCAGAGAAAGAAAGTTGAGAAACGACACAGGGAATTGGTGCTGGTAATTGAAAAGAGCAACAAAAGGGTGTGGTGGAATCGGAACTGTGTGAAATGAAAGAATATAAAAGTAACCCAATCGAACAAAAAAAAAAAAAAAAAAGAAATTAAATGAAAACGAGGCAAATAGTGAGATGAGTGAGGACCACAACAATGTGTTTTCAGCGCCATATTTTTCCCGTTTGATCTGGACCTTGCCACAGGGCCCTCTGTTTTTATAGTTTAGTTTTCTACAAATAAAAACTTGATAAAAAACAAGACAAGATACCATTAGGAAGTCTAGACAAAAAACCGTATAAGTATGTTATGTATGTCTAGATACTCAATTTTATTTTATATTATTTTTCAGAAAAAAACTGCTAACTAACGCTAGGGTAAATAGAAATTATTATTAGTGTACTTTTTTAGGATGAAGATTTTTTTTTTTTTTTATAATTATTTGAATTTAGGATAAAGATTTTGTCGTGATAGTGCGTGTTACTTTAAATCTTTTAAAAGCCAACATTGTTACGTAAAAAGAAAAATTACCATGCTAAACTTCCATTTCTTCACATGCCAAAAGTATGATGAAAGCACTAAAGATGATTATATATATATATATATATATTGTGTTAATAATAAGCATTAGATATGATTTTATAGGAGGAGATTCTTCCAACTAAATTAGTTTATCATCTACTTAAGAGTGTAGCAAAAGAGTGAACGGTTTTATTAACTTCCCTATGGCTATACACATGATATAACATAGTAAGCTAGATTATGTAGTACCGTGTAAATATGCAAATTAGGAATTACCTTGCTACACTTCCATTCCTAAGGTTAGACATGTGACCTTATAATTTCGGCTTTGTAGATAGAAACGAAGGAAAAATAAAAAAAAATAAAAGAGAAAGACAGCACATTCATGCCTGGACATCGTACCATAATTTTGGTTGCTTTTGTCTATGTGATGAAGAAAGGGAAGTGGGCCATGGAGGATTCTCGTGAGTGGTGGTGGGCCCGATTCTGTTACATGCTCATGCGTGTGTGGGTCCCATTTGCTGAGTAGTGGAGTTTGGGGTGGGCTGGAGTTTGGAACTAGTGATGAGTGAGATTGGAGAGAGACGATTGGTGAGCTTGACGGGGTCCACGTGCACGGTGGGATTTGGGTGGGTCATCCACTAATGGGAACTCGAAACGTGTTGCGGGTTCATTGCGGTTGATGGTGTTATTTGAGAAAGAAAAGAGTGGCTCAAGGGCCTTTGGATGATTTTGTCCTTGTTATGGACCCATTTATGCTATTCATCATTTAACAGTGGTGGGGACAAAAGAGTACCACAATAACAGCTTCTCATCTGACCCCACCGAAAACCAAATTCTTTTCTTTTTTTATCCCGGGAGCTGGGGGCGAAGAATCCTACTAATCTCCAAATGGGTTTTGAGAATTTTGAGAAAAAATGCATTATTATTCTTAACATAATCATTGCACTTCAGAAAGAAAGAAAACAAACTCAAACTAGAGGCTTTACCCATGGCCATTCATATGTTTGGACTATCTATCTTGTCTTGATGCATGATTCATGCGGAAGAGGACTGAGGAAGATATATATATATATATATATATTAATGTGAATTTTCCCATCCGAATGTATTGCTCTTGAGTTCCATCAAAAGTGGGGATAGGAAATTTTTTTTCACAATGTGTAAATATGAAACACAAAATAATAATAACAATAATAATAAGTTGAAATGCTCATAGATTAGAACATCTTGAACGTAATTGTAATTTAACATGTCAATGTTAAATGTTAATATTTGAGTACAAAAACTTTTCTCCAATACAATGTTTGATCTTCTCAGATGGGAAAAGTTTCTTCTTTCGTGTTATTATGTTGTTTTGTCATTTATGCACGCACTTAAAATAAAAGTGTACCTGTGTATTCATATAAATTTAAGAATGCCTTCTAATTTGGGTTAATTACAAAATGAGTTATTGTTGGGCCAATTTCTTCCCGCCAATAATCACTTGTCCCGTGTCCTGAACAAGAGAATTAGAGCCCATGGGCTCCAGTGATGTGTGATGTCGAGCCGGACGTCGGATTAAGATTAGGGATGACAACGACGCGGGGAGAGGGTGGGCCGTGGATATGCTTTTCCCATCTCATCTCAAGACCCTAATCTCATTTTGCCCCTTATAGTGTAGCTATTTAGACTTAGGCCCCGTTCACTTCGCTGATTCGAGTTTAGAATTTGAGTTTTTCTACAGTAAAAAACTCTCACAAACAATCACATCTAACTTTTTTGCTACAGTAAAAAGCTCTCACATAAAATCACATCTCAACTCAAATTCTAAACTCGAATCAGTGAAGTGAACGATATTTCACCGATTTAAGTTTTATTACATTAAAAAATTCTTAAAAATAGTTACATTTAACTTTTTTATTATAGTAAAAAACACTCACATAAAGTCACATCTCAACTCGAATTAAAAACTCAAATCAGCGAACTAAACGAGCCCTTAGAGTCTTTTGATTAATGCGCTCAAGTCAGTGATTCTAATTCATTAGCAGAAAATTTGTGAGAGAAACAAATTTTAAATTCAAATTTTTTGTGAAATGAAAAACACTATAATATAATTAGAATCATAGATTCAAGTATAAGAAACAAACGGGATCTTAACTTCGCCTAGTTTAAGGTTAAAAGTGGGATTGAGATTGGCAAATTGATATTGAGAATTATCTTGATCCGTACTCATTTACTCATTAAGTGTTAAATTTTTTAGTTTTTTTAATAGAAAAGTGTTAAAAAAATTATTGCTTTACATTATAAAGCTCGAAAGTAAATTTCAATAAATTAAGTATAATATTCATCAACATAGCCATTAACGCCGCATGCAAACAAAAAAAATTTAAAATCAAATTCAAACTCTAACAATAATAAATCAAAGTGTTTAAACTAAATTCGAAATCCAATGATACAAAATAAAACAATAAAATTTTAGAATTTAATCCACAAACTAAGAACAGACTAAACCTATTATGTTTATAGTATGTAAAATAAAATAAAATATACTACAGTATATGTATATCAATTTGTGTACGATATAGGGTCTGCTTCCTCCTCATACTTGAGGGGTTAATTTTAGCCCCCCATCTGTCCGTCTCCCGAACAATATCTATGTACCCGTCTTGTTTAGTACGGGTATTCGTGCTCATGAATACAAATGCAATCTATACTAAAAAAAACATACAGTATTTTAAACGTAATCAAGTTATTATTCTTTTTTTTAGTTATTACTAACTAAGTTACTTTAGTTGGATTTTATACTTAAATTGTAAAATAGAAACTATAATTTTCTATTAAAAATAAGTTGGCATAATGTCACGCCCCCCAAACGGGGTGGGTGACGTGGAGCTCGATTATGGATTAATAAAGCAGATTCCCAACCGGGCCCCACATTTAACTGCATTAAATATAATTACATTACTACAGAATCCCGGAGCCTCTGACACACAGGGCTCCACCCCACAGGACATACATTATCGTACATACATGCTCATGTAAATAATCATTACAACAGACATCAACCACAGTCTAGTAAATCTAAATATTACATAAGTTTATAGAATTTCTCAAATTCCTTACATTTGTCCAAAAGAATGTCCACGATCCTCACTTGATTCCAACAGCAGCACAACTCAGCTGCTCCGTAGCAATTATCCAGCTACAGTGCCCCCGCTCCTAGAGTCTCCTGGGAGGGGTTTAATACATATGAAACATAAAACGTGAGCGAAAGGCCCAGTAGGATATAATTTGAAATGACTTAAAATAAATGAATAAATAAATGAATGAATAAGTAAATAAAATTAGACATTTAGTCCCGACAGAACAGCCGGACCCTCCCATCCTTTTTCTCAAAGGAAATATAACTAAAAATAACCGTTTTACAGGCTTTTAAAAGTAATTAGTACAAATTACTTACCTAACCAAGCGGCTCGCCTACCCGGACCGAGTTTCGGGTTCTGCCCCCGAGGATGCACTATCCACATCCTATCTAGGCTAACAACAATAGACTCTATTACCAGTTCACAAGATCTCTTTGTTTAAGAAATCATTCATTAACATTTTGATATCGTTAATACGACCACACGAACTACTCAAGCCGTGGGCCCCATGACTGGACAAGCCATGAGGTTCCATGACTAAACAAGCCATGGTTTTCAAAGCATTTTCTTTCATAAATCAATCCCTTTCTTTAAAAACATTTTCAAGGCCAAAATCCTTTTTAAAAACAAGCTCACAAGGAAAAGGGATAGAAATCCTACCTCGTACTATCAAACCTGGGACTAGCGTTGCCTTTTCCGGCTTCCGTTTTGTCACGCCCCCCAAACGGGGTGGGTGACGTGAAACTTGATTTGGGATTAATAAAGCAGATTCCCAACCGGGTCCCACACTTAACTGCATAAAAATATAAATAAATGACATAATCCAGGAGCCTCTGACACACAGGGCTCCACCCCACAGGACATACAGTATCGTACATACATGCACATGTAAATAATCAATTACAATAGACATCATCCACAGTCTAGTAAATCCAATATTAAATAGGTTTACATAATTTCTCAAATTCCTTACATTTGTTCAAGAGGATAAACTCAATCCTCACTTGATCCAACAGTAGCAACTCCAGCTACCCTGCACCGCTCATCGAGTCTCCTGGGAGGGGTTTAACATTTAAAACATAAAACGTGAGCGAAAGGCCCAGTAGGATATAATTTGAAATATTTAAAATAAATGAGCGCATGAATAAATAATTGAATACATAAATAAAATAAGACATTCAGTCCCGACAAAACAGCC